ATTTACATTATACATATGTAAAATATAAATTAAAAATATTGATTAATCTAAAAAAGAAAGAAAAGAACTAGACAAGATTTTTTACCTTTTCTATATAAAGCTTTCAAATTTTGTGGTTGATGACTCAAAACATCTTCTACATTTTCTAAAGCTGCATCATAAGCTTCTGTCTTCATCAAAGCAGCTGTCAAATTATTTTTTACTTTCATGCAGCTTTCTAATATGGTATTACCATTGTGAGAATCTTCCTGATCATCCTGATTTGTTGAAACTAGATACTCTAATGCTCTCCGATAACAGTGTATTGCATAAGTCATCTTCTTTCGGTTATACCAAAAGTTTCCACGGTCGCGTTTAACATTGCTTAAAAAAATAAATAAGATCTTATTTGTAGACAGTATTTAATTAATACAAAAAAAAAAGATAAACAGCTGTCAACTATTTAAGAGTAAGATATGTTACCTCATTTTTAATCTTTCACTAACACTTAGTGTTTCTATAATAGGTTCAAAAATTATTTCTTTTAATTCAACTATATATTTAAGAACAGAATTAGGTGGTATTTTTTCTTCTGGCTGATCACCATAACCAAATCGAGGATCAACATAAACTTCAGCAATTTCGTCTTTATCCATTAAAGAAATTGTTAAATCTAATCCCTGCAATTTAAACCTTAGTATTATATCACAAACAAAATACTAATAAATATGACAAAAATAACAAATATGACAGAAAATAATATATAATACCTGAACCACTTCCATATCTCCTAACTGTATCATAAAATCATCCTTTTCTTCTACTATTTCTCCATTAACCTCACAAACAACTTTTAATTTACATATATCACGTTTATTGGGTCTTGTTCCGTCTTCACCTTCTTTTATAACTTTCTTTTTTAACTGACCATTACCAAGTATGTCCATCCATTCATCTTTGGTTTCCATACTTTCTGAAACTTCTTTTGTAGAATCCTGAGAATTTAATTCTGTAGGAATGGAATCAGCTTGTACTTTTTCTCGTAGCATATTATCCTCGCCTATCTTGAATAAATTAATTTTAATTATTTAATAATATACTACTATAGATAATTTTTATAACCATCATGGATTCTCTTAATGTCCTTGCCACATGTTGTAAAAATAAAAGACTATCTATGTAAAATTATGTGAGATAATTTGATAAAAATAATTTATTAGAGTTTTTAATTACAAGAGTCTATTAATTAAATTTTTATTATAGTAGCTTTAAAATAATGAATGCTTAATATATTTTACGCTCAACATAAATTGAGAACAAATTGTATAAGCAAAAAATTGTACAGAATTTGTTTAACGTTCAATATAACATTCATAGGTACTATGGTAAATAAGTGCGATAACGAAAAGATGCTTGTTCATTTAGTGTAACAAAAACGTTAAAGAGACCGATTTAATTGAATGTCTTTATTAAGTTCTCACATTAATAGTGTAATTGACATTAAAATAAGAACTTTATTTTTTTTATACGTACCTCGTTACTTTCGGACGAATCAACAGTCATTGAAAGTATGGAAAGTCTTGTTATTTTCAGATCAAAAATACAACGGGGGAGACTAGTCAGACCTGGTTAGACCTCGTATCGGATATTCGTGTGAAGTCATTTGAAATTATGGGCTACACATAACACGCGTCAATGGTGCCATGCGACAAAAAGTGACACGATGGCCAATCAATCTCTCGCTTTTCTAGAAATTCTATTTACTATGTTATGGTTCCTGCACACAGGACGCGGTAACGCTTACTACGCGACAAGAAGCGATGCGATAGCCAATCAATCTTTCACTCTTATAAAATAGTTGTCAATTGATTGGCTGACGCTATCACGTTGCCTTTTACCATACGATAGCGTTGTCACGTTCTATGTGCGTGAGCCATTAGATTCATAATTCATTTCTCGGGCATATACTTTATGCAACTTTTATAAATCCATGTGTACAAGGCCTTAATTCTATTCAAAAAAATATGCCTGATATTATCGGGAGAACAAACCAATGAGACGCTCCTACATTTCTAAGCGCACGCAAGCGCATTCGATTCGCATTCGGTAGCGGTCCACTCTGACAGGCTGCCGCCACTTAACAATCTAGCAGTTGAAGATTTTTGCACAGCTGGAGCATTATGAAACTATTATTGTTCTTGGGACTGGTGATTGCTGCCTCCTGCGCGAGCAACGTCGCTAATGGACCAAAAGTTACCGACAAGGTATACAAGAACACATAATCTGGAACAAAACAAAGTACAATCTACAAAGTAAATTGCTAATCGTGAAAAGAACAAAAATGATACTTGTGAATACGTGGCATTTCATTTCACGTTCTTCTATCGCTTACAATAAGCGCGAGATATTTCTGTTACACGGAAAAGTCCATGCGTCACTTGGAACTAACAATACCTTTGTCCCGAAACAAGAAACAGATCAGTGATTATGTTAATTAGTCAATTAACTAATCAATCAATTTTATTTGAATTTGAAGGTATGGTTTGATATCAAAATCGGTGATGCCGATGCAGGCAGAGTAGAAATCGGTCTTTTTGGCAAAACCGTTCCAAAAACTGTCAAGAATTTCGTAGAACTTGCCAAGAAACCTAAAGGAGAAGGATACAAAGGCAGCTCATTCCACAGAGTGATCAAAGATTTTATGATCCAAGGAGGAGACTTCACTAAGGGAGATGGAACTGGAGGTTCAGTAAACTTTCCTTTGTTTTTAATTATTCAGTATGTCAACCACATATTTGATTTTGTACCATTAATTTTTATTATGTTTTATTCATCAGGTCGTAGCATCTATGGAGATCGCTTTGCAGATGAGAACTTCAAGCTGAAGCACTATGGTGCTGGATGGTTGTCCATGGCTAATGCTGGCAAGGATACCAATGGATCTCAATTTTTCATTACTGTTAAGCAAACACCATGGCTTGATGGCAGACATGTTGTCTTTGGCAAAGTTATCAAAGGAATGGTAAGAATACCTAATAATACAAATCTGGTATATTATAATAGTCTATGTAAGAATATAATATTTATGTAATTATCCTTTTATTGCAGGATATAATACGCAAAATTGAGCAAACAAGCACAGATTCAAGAGACAGACCACAAGAAGAAGTTACCATTGCTGATAGTGGGGCAGAAATTATAGCAGAACCATTTAGTGTGTCTAAAGATGACGCTACTGACTAAATAGCAGCATTTACGAACTATTCATTATTCCTCATGGCCTGTTTATTTTATACAAAAAGTGTTTTTGAGTTATATGACTCTGGTATTAACCAATTTCTCTAGATGAATTATTAAATATGCAAACAATTTGAGTCTTGATACTAGCTTTAACAATATTTTGTTAATGCAGAATATCATGCCAGTAAGATTTCAAAATCAAAATAGCATTTTTGGAGTCATAAAACATTAAAAGCACAATAAATATAAATTATCATACAAACGATATCATGTGAACGATTCTATTCCAATTGTTACAACTATATACATTTACATTGCGCACCAATTTTGTACATCTATACTCAAATTTTCTACATTCGTGAATAAATATAAGTTGTTTAAAGTATTGTGTATGTATTATTTTATTGTACTTGCAAAAAACTAAATCATCAATTTTAAATGAAATAGCAACAAGATATATCCTGGATCAAAAATGGCGATTCATTAGCCACATTGGCCAGCGCGGAATTATATATACAGGGTGTTTCATAATGGTTGTGCCAACGCTCGTGTGTGGGTAGAGTGCGGTAAATTGAATAGAAAAGTCCTTTGCTGTTTTGCAATTATTGCAACAATATTCGAGATATTAATTAAAGAGGACTGACGAATAATCGTGCGTTTAGAATGCGCGCGGCTAGACCGTGGGCTGTACGCTCTAGGCATGACATAGTTCAGTGGAACAATCCTAGATGATATGTGTGTGCGTTCGATGGTTTGTGCTCGGGAGCTCGGGTCTCCAATCTGGCAGCTCTGTTTGTATCTTGAACAGCACGGCCTTTCCAGTTTGCATAGAGTTCAGTGACTGCACTATATATAGTGGCGCTTCTATAATATATTGTGACGATGTGACCAAAATATGTTGGAAAATCGTAATTGTGGAGAGATAAATAACGAATGGTGATATTATTTAGTATGTGCAAGTATGTGCTTATATATGCTATAACAATTACGTATACTGTTTCCAATTGTTTCGATAAGTGATTGTATGATCCTATAAGTGATTGTAGAAAAAAAATACTTAAGTATTTTTACATTTTCCGCAGAGGAGTGTCACATATTATGTATATTGAATGCAAGGATTTGTTGTTTGTGTTTAGATACAATACACATTGCTGCACGGAAAAGTCGTAAAGAGAAATCCAAAGAAATGGAGGTTAGTTTTTATTGCTGTAACAGTCAGGGTACAAAAATCTAAAAATCTCAGCCTACGTATATTTTTAACATAATAGATTGCATTTATTTAACTGATTTAGTATAACTTATAATTAATTTGTGCACTAACTTGCAATAACAGTAGCGATTATAATAGAATATTTGATCTAAATGTATTAAAGGCGTGACAAATCTCAATTAATGCAATATATTGAAGATATTCTTATTTCTTTAAGGTTATTTTATAAAGTTATGTAGATACTTTGTTATACATTTTGTAGGTCGTCATTTTAATTTAAGTAATGGATTTATAGATAGATGAGTGTTCGGGTGGTGGAGATAGCGGGGCAGAGGAAGATGAAGATGAAGCTTCAACTCATGGTTCTAGGAGTGACAGTAGCAGTAGTAGTATAAGTGGTAGTAGTACAACAACAGATAGCGAAGAAGATAGCGCAGAAGATCAAGCTACAAGTAGTAGTGAAAGCCACAGTTCTGCAGAGGAAGATGAAGATGAAAATGAAAATACAGAATATATGGTAAATGTAGAAACCCCTGATATTTTGGTAAGATTTATATTTTTATATTTATGCTAAAATTCTTAGGTGCTAATTATATATACATGCTATATATATAGTATTGTTGAATTTAATTCTATGGATAAAAGATTTAAATTGAATATGATCTCTAACATAAATTTAAAAAATTCTTGTTTAAATTTAACTTTAAATTTGATTTTTAAAAATCTTTGAATTCTAATTTGGCATTACACTTTTGAAATTTAAGAAAATATTGTTTTTATGGAATATGAAATAAAAAATGTATTTAAAAATTTTAATTTGCATGTCTATAAATTAAGCATCAACAACTATTTTTGAATTTAAATATATTTTATCCAGATTTTTTATTTTTTATTTTTGGAGTACAATATTTACAAATTTACATTTTAATTTTTGAATTAAAGGTTTTTAGTTTTCTGTAAAAATTTCTTATAATATTTTTTATACAAATTTTAATTGCTATATTGGGGTTATGATTCAACATTTCAGCATTTTGACTGCAGATTTGAATTTACTGAATATGTAATCATGTAAATTTAATTGTTTTTTCATAGAAATTATTTTTGTAAAGCATTTTTACTTTTTTTAAACTTAATGGTTTTTTAGAATAAGTAAAATTTTATTACTATTGTATTAAATTGATTATGACTGTGATAATATTAGAGATGGGAAACCTGCGTTGCTGCCAATACTAAAGTGAAATTACCACAAGATCTGTGTGAGCATTTCAGTATCTTTAAGGAAATGCTAGATTATCCACGTTTCTGGAATGAATATCTTACTGAAAGTCAAAGAGAAACATTATATAATCTTTTGCCAACTTTTCCAAAAGATTGCAACATAGAAGCACAAATGGAAAAATCATTGCAGATGCTATTCAATAGAGAAAATGATAGGTAATAACTAGGTTAAATATTTCTTGCAAAGCAAACAATGTGATTGATTGCCTGAATTTGTTTTATTACTATGTGATTATTGTAAAATATTCTAAATCAAATATATTATAGATTTGGTGTAACGGCACTGGATGCATTTCATAATCATCTTTCTGCTGGTCACTATCGTCCAGATATTAACAAAATACGCAGATTGGTGCGCCATGCGCAAAAGAAAAGATTATTATTTAAAGAACGGAAACGGTCGTACGAATTAGCGAGTCAACTACTTAAGTCACGGGAAAGTTTACTGTCAAATGCATATAAGCAAGGTTTTAGTCAACCGACCAACCGGGCACTATCTAAACTTCATTGGCGCAAGCCAAAACCAATAATAGGTAAACGTCTACTCTATGTATTATCCTTTTAATTTTAGTATTAGCCTAGTATTAAAATAGTCTGAACCTCTTAAGTGTTAATAAGTATTAAAAATAGCATTAACTTCTTAAGTGTTAATAATTCATATATGCATCGTTTAAAAACTATTCATCCGTATTAATAATGCATATATGTATTCATGCAAATATTATATGCATTTCAGAAACGATATTTTTCATTTAAGACTTTTGCATGGTATTCGTAAGCTTATGGGGTCGCTGAATTTAAATTTCTGGTTATAATTTTTGAATTCAATGTGGAAGACCTAATATAGCAAACGTAAATTCAAAAAATTCTTTTCTCATCAAACTTGATTTCTAAGGGTTTTTATAGAATTTAACAAATTCAAAGACTAAGCTAAACAAGAATCTGACATCAAGATTTTGAAATTCTAAAGAATATAATTTTTATGAGATATGTATAAGATTAACTATTATAAAACGCATTATAAAATTTGCTTTTTAAATTTTTAATTGCTATGTTAAATTATAAGTATATAAGTAATTGTATACTTTTTTTTACTTAGCGCATTTTTATATCTCAATGGTTAAGAGATTAAACATTTTCTGCTCATATCTTATTTACACTTCGGCCACTTGCCTGAGAAATATGTAGCTTTTGTGAAACATATACATTACTAATGCATAAATTAATAGTTGAAGAGAAGACCCAGCTACGCTATTTGGAGGAATTGAATGCAGTTCGGGCGGAACTCGGGTCCAATACGAGATTGTCCGCTGACACAACGTCCGAGAATGAAGAGAATTATCCACATTATCAGACCGCAGGTGCCAAACAAAAAAGGAAACGGCGTTCTACTGCGAGTCTTGGATTGTCTGTTAAAGGCTTGCAACTCAGTCACGAAGACGAAACCATTCGACCTGTGTTTTCCACACTACAGCGAATGGAATATGCACCGAGCAGATCGTTGTTTGTGCGCGAACAAACAGAAGAAACCTACCGTGCTATGTTAAGTGCGCATAAAAAGCGACGTGCTCGTCGAGATGTACGTATAATCTATCATTCTATCATAAATATTTATTCAAGTAAAATTGATTAACTAATTTACATGTAGATTCATCCGGAATTGAACACTCAAGGGATTGCGCTTGCCGATCTCACACAGAGATCGCAAATTGGTCAGAAACACAAGTTTTTGATCGGCAATTCCACGAAGATTGCACCCAAAAAGAAAGTTAAAGTGGAACAAAACTCTTTATGTCCACCCACGACAAAATTGGTGAACTCCCATTCTGTGAAGCACGAAAGTGACAACAGTGATTATTCTCACACAACCGATGACAATAGACAACCTAATATCGCGGACATGGATTACAATAGAATAGTAACGCCAATAAAATTGGAACCGATCGATACGTATGAAGTGCATCAATTAGCTAAGAAGAAAATGTAATTATAGATGACTGCTTACATTAGAGGAACGCGAGGGATAAGCCGCTGAAGGCATTGTGGTATAGAAATTTGAAACGAAATTGGATACGTGTATTAATAATTTAGAGATTCAAAATTTTAATTTTTTAGTTTGAAAGTACGTTTTCTTTTCTTTTATCTTATCAAACACTCATAAGACTTCGTATACAAAATGTTTTTAAACTATACTGATAATACAAGATAAAATCTATTGCATTCTAAATTTTAAGTTAATTCTTAATACTTAAACATTTCTGTTTATTTTAACTAAACTTTAACCAAATGTTTATATATTTTACTCACACTTGAATAAAAAGTGAGAAATTATAAAGAAAAATAGCTGAAATAAATTACATTTACTTAGGCATTGCTTAAACATTGCTTAAACATTGCTTAGATATTATTATGACATTATTAAGTCATTAATGAGCAGTAGTATGTACAATGTTTATCAGTGGTTTACCTTTGGACGAATATTATAAGATTTATATGCTTGATTTGACTTCATATTTATTTACAGCAGTTCAGCAACTCCAAAGAGTAACAAGTCGGCAATAATCAATACGCCAGAAATAAAGAAAGAAGTTGAAGATATAGAATATGATGAAGTTAAGACAGAGTTAAGTTCGAACGTGAATGAGGACATGCTGATTGAAACTGAAGAAGAAGAAGAAAAAGGATCTAAGAAAGAACTCGACTTGGATAATATTGATATGATGCAATTACCGATCCAACTCGATGACGGAATTGATATACTTGATGACGTTAAGTAAGTTTATCTGTAAAATTATTAATAAACGTACTAGTTAATGAAATTAATTAAAAATATTTAATTTGGAAAATTAGATGCGAGGATGAGAGTGTTATGTCAATATCAGAAAAGGAAGTGACCGTACCGTCTAGCGAAAGTACCATAGACGTTAACAATGGTGCGGAATTAATGCAAGAAACGCACGCTTGTTTTTTCTCTTTGTTGCGAGATGCTTTCACTTCTAAGGGAGAATATCGAATGAGCGCGGCGGAAATGAAAGAGGCGGTAATGCAGTGGCAAGGCAATCCTATTTCACCCTTAAACGACTGGTAATATTAAATAAAATTTTGCTGTAATGTAAGAAATTTACTCCTTGAGTTTTAATGATGTGTCTATACATTATTTAAAAACTGACAACTAGTCACTGTTGATGTACGTTATTTTAAACAAAATTTATTCCTTAAAAAAATTAGGAATCACCTGTTTTTCGTTAAAGAGAAAGGCAAATTTCAGCTGTAACTTTGTAGTCATGTCTAGTGTCGGAAAAAAACATTTTAAAGCTCGAACTTTCTACTTTGGAATACTTTTTGCCGATTATAATTATCTTTTTCTTTGTCAATGTAAGTAATGCAAAAAAAAGAGCCAAAAATTTTTTGTTTCTACAAACGTACTTCGAGTGTAAAAAAATTTTAAGGAAAATTTTGTTTTATAAATTTACTTGTTTGTTTATAGAAATTATTTTTGTTAATAAAGCGTTTTTTATTTCTTGACACTTGAGATTAAAAAAAAATTATATTTTAATAAATTATATGATTGATATTGTAGGTACTCCTTGGTGCCTTCGTGGTCCACGTTAATACCATTAGCCCTAGGATTTCTCGCTGGAGAATTAACATATTCACAGGATTTAGATTTACGACAGGAACGAGATCAAGAACTTGTACCTTACTTGGAAAACAAAGGTCGAGGAATATACGCATGGATTGGTGCAGGGCGCGATTCTGATACTCGATTACAGGATCTGTGTACAAAATTCCTTATGTATAAGTATGTATATGTCGCTGTCAATGGTGATGTTTTAATTTTCGGTTGTTATTATATAGAGAGCGGTGAAAATTGTACAAGCAAGGATAAAATAATTGCTTGTTTAAAAATAAGTGAGAAATATAGAATAAATTTGTTTACGAAAGGTTTTAGTTTACAGAAAATTGATTTTAAAAATTGGAAAATTAACGTTTTTGCACTTTTCTAAACTTGAACGGTTCTTAATGATCTTGTATTATTAAATTTTTTTGCTTCAATATCTAAAAATACAATATATTATTGAAAAGGTAAAAATGGGCTTGATATTTAACATATAACTTGTTTAGTAGAATATATAATTTTAAATTGCATTTTGAAATAAAATATTGTATCTTATTTATCTCTTGATAACCGCTGTTAAAATAAATGCTGCATATATGTTACAACATATGTTACACACCACATAGATATTATAATACATAGATAATAGAAAATCATTAAAACATAAAATATGCAAAAAGTTATTAATTTTTCAATATTCAAAATTAATTATCTTGAAAATAAAACCTCGTGTGAAAAGTTATTTTATATTTTCGAATTATTTTTATATTAGAAAGCACCGTGTTTTCGATTACACCATAATTTTTGCCACATTCAGCACAGTTGTCTAACTAAATATTCACAAATGCTTATCCGCAAACGTTTCTTATTGTCATATTTCGTTCATTTGCATGCCAAGTTGAACAACTCTGTTTCTAATCTACTTTCCTTAACTTGATTTTATTTATATTTTGTTTAACAAAATACTTTATTGAACAAATAATTATGCTTTTATAGAGATGTGTTAGTATCATCGAACACTTCGGCTACCAGTACTGTAGCAACAGTAAAACCGCAACAAATTCAACACGCATCTTTGAACAACAGTAATGCGAATAGCGCGATAGCGAGCGGAACTTCGCAAAGCACTAGAAGCGGAAGCCCAGCGTTGGAATCTGTAAGTATAGATGCTAGTGCTGCTGGAACCGAGTGGGAACCACCTCGCGCACTATTCCCTACGGAATGGAAGGTTCGTCCGTCCACGTCGGAGGAACGTGAGGAATTTCGAAGACAGGAGCTTATGCGTTACGCTGCACCTCACAAAGCATTTACTTATCGTATGCATGGTTATGCGTCTGTAGTCGGCCCGGTCAAAGGAATTTACCAGCACAACGTCGGTATGTTTATGAATTGCATTGCATTGCAATGTAAAAGTACTGAATTAATTTGACATTAGAAAAATATATTTACTGAAATTATTAATTTATCAATTTGCAAATGTGAAGTTAATAAATTATTATTAATTTAGCTTCAGGACAATCTAAAGCGCGAGGTCATAATTTGCTGGTGGCAGATCGTCCAAACTTCGTAACTATTTTAGCGTTAGTCAGAGATGCTACTGCTCGACTTCCTAATGGTGAAGGAACACGAGCTGACATTTGTCAGTTATTGAAGGATTCGCAGTATATCAAAGAACAAGGAAACAATGACGATAATCTCCATTCTGTTGTATCAGGAGCGCTCGATAGACTGCATTACGAAGCGGATCCTTGTGTCAGATTTTATCCACGTCGAAAAGAGTGGCTTTATCTTCATCGAGCGCGATCTGAATCTGAGTTTGGTTCGTTTCTACTTTACATCTTATCTCGTTTATTGATTTATTGCTTTATTATTTATTTATTTCTTAATTTTGATAATTTATTGTTTATTATTTTGAGCGTTTCTAGAGTATTGAAAATCTTAACTTGCTCTCATATGATTATTCAACAATCTTTTATTTTTTCGTAGAAATGTTTCATCAGCAATTGCAAGGTGTTGCGAAAAATAAAAAGAGCGTTGGAAGTACATCACGGAACAAATCAACCCAACCTATTCTTAAATCAACCAATGCAAACAAGGAACAGTTTTCGAATACTAAGGAGGTTACCGTTAAAAAAGAGAGGCGGACGACGACTATATCTGCGCAACCTGTCATGCCCAAGTAAGTGTTTCGCATTTATATTATTATTATGCATGAAATTTTATATTATTAATTTATATAAATTGTACAGTATTTTAAAAACTTATCAATTAAAATTATTTTAATTATATGAATTGTGAAGTTATTTGAATGTTACGTAGTTTTAAGTGGGATATATATACCATATGATGTTGATTATTTCGCTTAATTTGAACTTGCATGACTTTTCTAAGTTTATATCAAGATCACTTAGTTTTTTTTAAACGGAGACTCATACATATTCTTAAAACTGACACATTGAGATATATATATTTTCAAAACACTATATATTATATACATTCATATACATTTATTGTATTGTTGTGTGTATATGCATACAAATCATTAAATCTTGCAGGAAAGAGCAACGTAAAACCGAAGAGAAAGTTATTATTGAACATCCTATCTCTACTGAAGAATCCATTAATAATAATGTAGAAGTGGCAGTGAGCACAATAGCAACTCCGACCATTTCTATTACTGAATCCCCTGTCCCCGTTGCATCGCTCATGACATCTCCGGCTACGGTCACAAGTATAGTAAATACAGAACGAGATAATGTTACAGTGGAGGCAAAATCACAACTTCCTGCTATAACGACGATAAAAAGAGCGTCCGCTGTTGGAGGAAAACCGATCACTGTAGTCAAAACGAATGCTACACAGAGCTTGCTTCAGTCAAATCAACATAATTTTCCGCATCACCAAATTCAAGTTTCCACATCAGCCGGTCTGCAAACTATTCGTTTGTCCGGGCATTCAGTGTTGCAATCTGCACAACAGTCGGCTATCCCAGTTAGTGGTAACAACGTAACGAATGGAACCACGACGAATTTAACGACAATATTGCCGTCTACGAAAGTACAACAAAATCAGCAACAACCAACTATAGTAACGAATCAAGCAGGGAAGAGTATCTTGCAACCTACTAACATAAAACAACAACAGTCACAGCAGCAACAACAGCAACAACACGTGTTACCAGGCAAAACCCTCTTGGCGTCACAAATCAAATTGGTCAGTTCAAGTCAAATTAAATCGTTACTTACGAGCCATGGTCTTCAAGGTCAGACTATATTTATTAAACAATCTCCACCATCGAATAATCAATCGCAACAGCAATTACAACAGCAACAGCAGCAGCAACAGCAACAACAACAATTAAAGGTGGATATCTCTGCGAATAAATCTTGTTATCGTATTATATTTATTTTGTTTAAATTTGAATCTTTATATATTTGAATTTTATTCTGATACAAAAGCAACAACTGCAGCATCAACTTCAACAACAGCGAGTTGTGGCTAGTCAACAACAATCTATACAACAGACTCCGGGAATGCAGCGCATATTCGCGCAAATCGGGGGAAAACCGATCGCTGTGCAAATACAACAGTCGCCCCATCAACAACAGCAGCAGCAGCAACAGCAACAGAAAATATTAGCGAAAGTTTTAACAAACAGTGGTGGAGGGCAGATTATATCCGTGGAAAGTTTGCTCGCGCAAAAGGGATTGAAACTTGCTACTACTGCTGCTCATCCTAATCAACTTAACAGACAGGGCAAACAAGTTATACAAGCTCAATACCAGGTAAATACATTTAATATGCGATCTATTACATAACATCACGTATCAAGAGACACGGTCGTATTGTGCCAAATTCACGCGCAATGCAAAAGAATGATTAAATACATTAAATAATAATTATATTTTAATACTTTTTTATTAATAAAACTAATAGAATAGAAAAGAATTTTATTATTAAAAATTAGGAATTGTGTAATATCTATATTTATCGTTTAAAATCGAGATAAAATAATATATATATAATGATACAATAATTCTTTGGTTAATATTATATTTGCAGGTGGTACCCCAAACGCAGGCATCTCCTGGTCAATCGAAAATAATAGCAGTGAGCACACAGCATCAACAATCACAATCACAGCAGACTCCAACTGTTCGAATGGTCACCGCTCAACTTGCGGGAAAACCCATCGTATTGGCGAGTGGTAACAAGAATGTGGGAGTCGCGGTGAGCACCAGTAGCGGCAACGTAGTGTTAGGCAAACAGCCAGTTTCTCAACAACCACAACAGCAACCGCAACAGCAGCAACAGCAGCAGCCACAACAACAAACGCAACAACCGATTATCTTGCCGAGTCAATTGCTCAACATCAAAACGTTGCATGGACTCAAAGTAATTCCTACGCCAACCGGTTTAAAGACCGCCGGCAGTGCCGTGTATGCTCGAGTTATCGCTCCTACGACAATAGCGTCCACGCAGGCTGCATCAAATCAACAACAGACTCTACAAACGCAATCGTCGAGGAATACTTCGTACGGCACACCTTGAGAAGATTGATGTTGTTTATGTATGCTTAATTCGTTTATGTCGGTTCTTCAAATCTGTTTGTTTTTTTCTTCTTTTTAAATTAAGAGTTTAAGATAAAATTTTAGTGGGACAAAAAATTATTTCGATTATACGTCGTATTTTAACTTAATGAATATGCTGTAATATCGATTATAGAGTTTAGCAAGTATGCTTTAATATTCATAAGGTTAAACAAAATTTAAAAAATATATAATAAAAATATAAGTTAAAATATTAAGAGTATGCTGGAGTCGTTTTTTTTTACCGACCGAATCTCAAAAATCTACTTTGTATGGCTTTTTTATTGCTTTATTATTTGTCATTTGTGAAATATTATATTTTATTCCTACAAAATTTTCGAATCTTGAATCCCTTCGAATCTTTTGTCTGAGCTCTAATTGAAACAACTGTTTTTTATAAACGCAGTATTCACTTATATATTATATCGAATTATATATCGAAAACTATCAATTTTAAAATTATGATATTTTAAATGAGAGATAAAGATGTAATCGAAGAATCTGTCATTAAAATTAATGTCAGATCCGGAGTACAATGTGAAAGCGAGAGTTTTTATTTTTCAAGTACATCGTGATTCGAGAATAACGATTTTACAGAGAGAGAACATTATGACTTTCATGCTTTTGCTGAAGTATAATTCAGGTTTGTTAAATGTTGCCGTGGTGAAGAATAATTGTAGAAACTGGTGTTTGATTGCTGATCGCGAACAGGGTAGTCATTATCACTGGCAATAGATAATATCGAGCGTGTGTTAACGGGCGGATATTGCAATTGACCGGAATGGCTCATTCGTTTGTCACATCAATGATAGGGCCACACGTGTTGATCCTTGGCTTTTTTGTGCACGTTCTTAATTATCGCGTATGCAATTTGATATTTACGGTGAAATCGAAGCTCATTAATTCCGTCGCAATTTATTTTCGGAGATTTAATTTTTTGCGCGATTTCTTCGGCCCAATTCGATGTGTGTTTCGATAATTGCCGGATCAATCGAGGTGATTCTGATAAAAAGTGAATGTGTTAATTGACAATACTTTATGAATTTACGATAATCGATAATTTTATAGAATGTTTTTAGCAGCGTGTTCATAATTACGAAATTTTCTTGCGTTGGATATGTTAGTTCTGATTTTAGTTTAAATTACATTACATTTTAATTTAAATATTTGAATATATATTTTTATTTAAGTGCTGTGGGAAAAAATACATTTGTGTAGAGTCGATATGATGTGAATCGATTGGAAATAATAATTTAAGAGCTTTTTGTTACAGTATATAATTTATTATTTCAGCTATTGCCAAGACCGGACTTGTTTTACATTTAAAACTTATCCATACTCATCCATCCATACCTTATACCTAATTACTTTTTGTTACAGTATTTAATTGAAAAAAGAAACAATTAATTAATACAGTAAATATGTAATATTTCGATAAAGGTATTATGTAACCCGACTTTCCGGACTCTCGCTGTTGTTCTTTTACAAAATTTCACGGTTTGTTTACTCTTGCCCGAAGATTGCTTTATGCTTTTCATTTATAGAAAAGTGTACAGAATAAATATATTTACATTCAAAGGTGCAATTTTGCAATTTGCATCTTGCTTGAAAATTTGGCAATTTGGTATGATATTCTTTAAATCAAATGTTTTCTTTAATTTCTATAGTTTTTGAATTCATAACGGATTCTGACGAAAGAGCTATGTCGCGTGTTTCTTGCATTTCTTAAATTCTTTCTAAAGTTTCATTACTATATGTTTATTAAAATTGATTTGGTGAGAAATATATAATTTCGGGATACACTCCATACATTTTATTTGAAAATCACTAATTCTCGTACAATATTTCCGTGTCTAATCGTAAAGTACGTAATTCCTAACTTCGTTAAAATGCTTGTGGCGTAAATGATATGCTATAGCATATCATTTACGCCAAATTTTTTTTTGATCACGTATCGAACTGCGAAGCATCGTCGATCACGCATCGAACTGCGAAGAACAAAGATCAACCTTGACACGCGCCTCACGTCTTCTTTAGTCCCGCCTATTTTGCCTATAAAAAGGGTACCCGATGGCACGGCAGCGTAGTAGTATGAAAAAAGATCAGCAGGAGTAGTATGAAAAAGATCAGCAGCAGGAGTATGGAAAAAATCAGCAGTGCAGCAGAATCAGCAGTGTCGGGAAGCCATATTCAACGAATAAGAACATAGAATTTCGCGAGCAATGCGTCAAAATTTTCAATCTGATTTTCAATCCTTATAAGGATTGAAAATCAGATTGAAAATTTTGACAACACAGAAAACATTGTGAGGTGAAAGTATCGTTGTAGTTGAAACATATCTATGGCCATTCTTGTCGTCCTTTACATATTTCTTCGTATTTTATTATATCAGGATGCTGTTTACTTATATGTCGATGGAAATATGACACGGTGTAAATATGCGCGGTATGATAACGCTATCTTTATGCCTTCTTCAATCAAAGTTATAATTGCATCGCAATATACTTACAACTTGTTTCTTATTGTTTCTTACTGTGAATTAAAAATTATTCGGCCTCATCGATCTTATTGTTTATAATTCTACATTATGCTTAATGTGTTCAATTCTTTTATTAGCTTAATTAAGAAAGAATAATAACGAGAATATATTGTTATTATTTCTATATTTTGCACATTTTCTGGTTAGTAAAAATTAGATAAGCTTTTGAATATCAAATATATTTATTTTCTGCTATTACAATTAGATCAGAAGGGATATTAGATCAAAAAGTTTATAAATTGAAAATAAATTCATCAATAGATATTATAATAAATAATACTTGTAAATCTTTTTATAAATTATATGATCATGATTAATTTTGAAGACATGCGTGTTGTCTGGTTATATTATATAACACAATTCTCGAGCAAATACAACTGGAAGAATTAAGAATTGACATATTTTGTTGACAATTAAAGTATTCCTTTTCGGTAATCTCTACAGAAGTTATTACACTACAATTAAGTATAAAATATGAAAAATGCACGATCAACCATTTTTATAAGAAAATAAAATAGAAATAAAATATTTATAAATGCTCTTAAATAAATCGTCGATAGTTTTATGCTTACAGAAAAATCGATAATTAAATCATAAAATCGTCTTACTTTATACACTTATAAACATAGTTTATAAATGGAAAATTTAAAATATTTACAAAATTTATTAGCGTATTTAATAAATTTCAAAAGTGTAACTTTTCTTATCTATGTGACACATAGTTTTATAAACGTATTTATAACTTATATACGTAAAACGAATTATACGTCAAGAATAATTATACGGAGAAAGACATGTCACTTCTCTCGTGTACTTCAAATTATTTGAATCATCAAAATTAAGATTGCCATTATAGTTGATTGTGATGCTACTTGAACGTCGTCATCATCATTCCATTGTCAGATTCTGGATAAACCTATATAAATAATTTGATATTTATTAAAAACACATTATCTGGTTATTGCTCTTTACACTACATATTTATTAAATTAAATGCGATTTTAAAAAAGTAAAAAATTAATTATATAAAAATATTAACAATAATATCAAAAAAACATATTGTCACCTGTTTTCATTAGTTTGGTTGGTTACCTGATGGTCCAGCTACCCAGATAGCATTTGGATATTCTGACAATGTTCGTAGGATATTTGACCGGGAAATTAATGATATTCTTAGAATATTCAAAACATATCCTGGGATATTCTCAGTATAATCTGGGAATGACCAAATGTCCGCTATTTTCTAATCCTGAGTATATACTGGCGATATTCGAAAAAAATCCTGGCCATATTCAAGGAATATTCTGGATATATATGGACAATATGCTTAGTATATGCGGAGAATATTCTAAGCATATGGGTAAGGTCACAATGTATGGATTGAATGTCTTTATATAGAATGTGCACATTATATATATATTTTTTTTAATATATATATATATATTAAAAGTAATGTTCTAATAATATGAAGATACTCTGAGATATATTGAAAGAATTTCTTAATATTATTATAACATCCCACATAGCACATAATGTTGCAGCAATATTGCAGCAATATTATTTTTCCATTGCAATATTACCATGAAATATAGCAGAAATATTGATTAAATATTATTGAGATGTCACAGCAATATTAAAATGTCCGCGAAGATTAATCGCAGTAATATTGTAGTCATATATCACAATTATATTACTGTAATATTAATGAACATTTCTGTAATATTTATGTGATATTAAAT